TCCCCCCCGTTAGCCATCACTGCCATTTCTGACAGCCAGCAGGAGCCTGAGTTTTACATCCTTAGTCTAATCAGCACCCCACAACATGGCTAGAATGATGTTTATTTTGCAAATCAACAAAAGAGCCCGTCGGGGTCAGTCATTGACCTGCCCAGGGTCTGCCCACTAGATCTAAACTTAAACCGCAGGGACAACACGCTTAAGCAGTTTCAGGTAAAAGGCGACCCGGAGGCCGTGGGCGGAGCGGGGCACATCAGGACACCGGCCCAGCTTCGCGAAGCCCGCGGCGGCCGCCTCACCCGCCCCCACGCCTGCTCCTCCTGTAGATCTCGGCACGACCGACGTCCAGAAGAGGAAGCTGGCGGATGCCATCGTGAACGGGGACACCAGCCGGCTGATGAAGATCCTGCAGCCGCAGGACGTCGACCTGGTCCTGGACGGCGGCGCCAGCCTGCTGCACCTGGCCGTGGAGGCGGGGCAGGAGGAGTGCGTCAAGTGGCTCCTCCTCAACAACGCCAACCCCAACCTGACCAACAGGAAGGGCTCCACGCCCCTGCACGTGGCCGTGGAGAAGAGGGCGCGGGGCGTCGCGGAGCTCCTGCTGGCCCGCAAGATCAGCGTCAACGCCACCGACGAGGACCAGTGGACGGCCCTGCATTTCGCGGCGCAGAACGGGGACGAGGGCAGCACGCGGCTGCTGCTGGAGAGGAACGCCGCCATCAACGAGGCGGACTGCGAGGGCCGCACGCCCCTGCACGTGGCCTGCCAGCACGGGCAGGAGAGCGTCGTGCGCATCCTGCTGCGCCGCGGCGTGGACGTGGGCCTGCCGGGGAAGGACGCCTGGCTGCCGCTGCACTACGCCGCCTGGCAGGGCCACCTGCCCATCGTCAAGCTGCTGGCCAAGCAGCCGGGGGTGAGCGTGAACGCCCAGACGCTGGACGGGAGGACGCCGCTGCACCTGGCCGCGCAGCGAGGGCACTACCGCGTGGCCCGCATCCTCATCGACCTGCGCTCCGACGTCAGCCTCTGCAGCCTGCTCGAGCAGACGCCCCTGCACGTCGCCGCAGAGACGGGGCACACGAGCACCGCCAGGCTGCTGCTGCACCGCGGGGCCAGCAGGGAGGCGGTCACCTCCGAGGGCTGCACCGCCCTGCACCTGGCCGCCCGGAACGGGCACCTGGCGACCGTCAAGCTGCTGCTGGAGGAGAAGGCCGACGTGCTGGCCCGGGGGCCCCGGAACCAGACGGCCCTGCACCTGGCGGCCGCCGGCGGGCACTCGGAGGTGGTGGAGGAGCTGGTCAGCGCCGACGTGCTCAACCTGTCCGATGAGCAGGGCCTCAGCGCGCTGCACCTGGCCGCCCGCGGCAGGCACGCCAAGACGGTGGAGACGCTGCTCAAGCACGGGGCCCACGTCAACCTGCAGAGCCTCAAGTTCCAGGGCGGCCACAGCCCCGCCGCCACGCTGCTCCGGCGGAGCAAGACCTAGCTTGCTGCCCTGAGCCCGGTGCCCCGTGCAGGGTTCCCGTCCCGTTGTGTTCTGCAGCGGGGCAGAAGGACGCTCCCCTCGCTGGCGGCCTGGCGGCACGTGGACTGAACAGGCCATTAGGAGGCTGCGACTCCTGATGGGTGCCAGGCGTCGGCGTGGGCGGGCTACCCTCCAAACGAAGGTGGTTGGAGGTGCTGATCCATCCGCCCGTCGGTGCGCCCGATGTGGGAGGGACGACGGGTTGAAATCGTTTCGTGGTACGCCTGCTCCTGGGGTCCATTCCTTGGTGACAGTCCTGGGTGCCGCCGAGCCCACCCGTCCTGAGTAGAGCCCCTGGAGCTCGCCGGCCTGAGGACGCAGGGACAAGGCCGCTGGGCCTTCCGTCTTCATTTGCAGCGGCCGGCGAGGCAGTCGGTCTCGGAATGTTTCAGTGGACAGCTTGTCGTCGCTAGATGAGCACAGCGTCGAGTGTTGCCTTAACGCTCTTCAAAAATGACCCTGTCATCGAGCAGTCTCTCTGCGAGCGCGGTGTGTGACGGAGCGAGGCCGGCTTTTAAAAGCACGGTAACCGTGCGGCCTCTGACGTGCTCAGAGCGTCCCCAGCCGGTCCCCTCGGCGACCGCGCCTCCTGGCCGTCCTGATCGCTCCCATTCATTTCTCATTGCATAAAATGCGTTTTAAACTCTAGAGCCAAATACACAAGAGTCGTTTAAAAATTCACTTGTAACCTCAGTTTTGGACTCAGAACAGTATTACCTAGGTAGATGGACCACCTAACTCGTCGGCTTCTTTCCAGCTCTTTCTTGGAAAGGTGGCCGTGTGTGCAGAGTGCTGCTGTCTGGGGGTCCCAGAGTGGCTTTCTGACCTGCTTTACAAACCTCCGAACTGTGTGACCCCCCAAGGCGGCCCTAGGAGACCACCGCACGCTCTTGGCTATAAAAGATGGGGTTGTCTGGCCGTCTTTGTCATGTGTGTGCCATGTGGTGCCCCCCAGTACTGTTGTTCGAGTGGATTTGCTGCAGGAGGTGGTCCTGTTTGCAAACATGCCTGTGTTGTATGACACTGAGATTGATATTAATATACCATGTATGTTAATGTGAATCTGTGGGCTGGATACTTCTTTTCTATGACAGGAAATGTCCAGACTGCTTAGAACTGGCTATGTTTTAATATGCCTCATGCTTTTACCGTGCTATGGCGTGCTGCTGTTGTGTGGAGCACGCGGAAGACGAACGCTCTGTCCGATGTAAATAAAGTTCCCTTCTACTTTTCTGACGTCGGTGAGGCTGCTTTTTCTTATAAACGAGCTCGAATAGTCTGGTTTCTGACGACCAGAGGATGAGGCAGTCGTGTGTGGTGTGGAGAAGACCTTCCAGAGGGCAGTCCGTGGGCACTGGATAGCCAGTGACGGGCGGGGACAAAGGGAGGGGAAGGGGGACCCGGGCTTCCTGCCCCCTCACCGGGCCTGCCACCTGTGCGTGAACCAGCAGCAACATGACCTAGTCGTGCTAGAAGCAGCTCCCAGCACCTTGTATCTCCTTTCAGGTGCTTATAGTTGTTTTCATTTGTTACCTTTACATTTTGAAATAATTTCAAATTATAGAGAAGTTATGAAACTAGTACAAAAAACTCAGGCGTATCCTTCATCTAGATTCCCATTCATTTCAGCTCCTTCGCCTGGTCATTCTGTTTTCTTTCTCATCTGCCCACCCACCTGTCCACCCATCCACCTGTCCGTCTGTCCACCCACCACCTCATCCACCCACGCAGCTACGTGTCCACCCTCTGTTTAACTAGGCTGCAGACCGTGTGCCCCATGACCCCAAATACTTGGGCGTATTTCCTAAGAACAAGGACGTTCTCCTATATAGCCACCGTGTACCCATCAAAATCAAGACATTAACATTGAGACAATACTACCATCTAGTCCACAGGTCCATTTTAAATTTTATTATCTCAAAAATGTCCTTTATAAGGGAAAAACCAACAACCAACAGCAGTGACAATTGACTTCCTTCCTTCCTCTGTCCAGGGCCCACTGTGCGTAATTGTCACGAGCCTTCAGTCTTCAGACCTCTGTTCCTCAGTGAGAACGGTACTTAGAAACCAGCATCTGGGCCCTAGATGGGCTCATTGTTCCCGGGGTGTCACTGCCTCGAGGCCCTCTCAGTGGACAGATCGAGGAAGCGTGTGTACCTTGCACGGATGTACACATACCCATCTCTCTGCCTTTTATTAAGGACCATGATGTCTCACCAATGCCTAACTCCCCATGGTTACTCTAGCTTATCCATGTGGTATCTACTTCCTCCGACAAGGTTGGTCCCCTCATCCTCAGCATGTGTGCACAATCGACTCATCCCCGTGTGTACAAGGACTCTCCCTGCCACGCGGGGGCCTCAGCCTGTGTCCCTCACACACGGACTGAGCCAGCCTTGTGCCCAGCAGTGCACCAGTTAAGTTCCCTGGCCTGTGAAATGGGACAGGGTTTTGTTGTTGTTTTTAAATTTTTATTTTTAAAGCCTTTTGTGCCAGGAAGCAAGACCTATGAACATTTTCTCACTAAAACTTGGCCATTTGGCTTACCTTTCCCTTTTTTCATTAGGTACCTCTATCATTTCCCTTTATGCCTTGAGACAGCAGTAGTTTAACGCTACCGTTTTTCTTCACTTCCCAGAAAATTTGGGTGGTTTCCCTTCTCCCTCTAACCCCTCTTCTATGTTTGTTCACTCAAGAGCATCTTCTGGTTTGAGGACGGCATGAGCTTTTCTCTTAGACTTTCCACCTTAGGCCAAAACTGCCCCTTACTTCCTGGGAGGAAATAAAAGCGAGTCTTAACGTTTTATGTGCTGTGCTGTTGCTCTGGGGCTGAGGGTCCCCCAGGACACCCTCAGGCAATCCCTCCTGGGCCCTCGCCCAGGGCAACATGGGAGGGGCGCGCCTGCTTCCTTCTGCAGCTCCGAGACCTGGAGATAGCAGGTTCCCAGAGAAGCTGCTCTTGGCTGGAGCCCAGGGCAGTGCCCTCATGCGCTGACATCTGCTGACATCCGCATCCACAGGAGATCCCGCTCACTGGGGTCTCCACAGTTGCCCGGGGATGGTGCCAGGACCAGGGGACGCAGCACCAAACATTCCCTTGTTACTGACCAGGATGTCTGGATTGGGGACACCCAGCAAAGGGCTCACCTCAGCCTTGGCTTCAGTCCCATCACTGTCCACATTCCACCAGCTGGGCACGAAGAGCCCGAGTCTGCGTAATGCTTTCTCTTTATTCCCATCTCACCTCCGGCCAGACGTGGCCCCTGGGCTCAGGTGCCTCGTGACTATTGTCAGCACCCTGAAGCCACGCGGTCCAAGAGCAGAAAGCTTGGACACCTGACCTGCGAGTGGCCCATGCCTTCTGGTGTCATGACCCCGAGTGCTACCAGTCTTAGGAACTTGGGTGCAGAGTCCTTCTGAAGTCCTCCTGGGGCTCCCACCTGGCGATCGACAGCGCATGGCCCTGTGTGCTCAAGGCTTCCTCGGCAAACAGCTGGTTTACCACCAGGCTGCTCCACTCCCAGCGCTGATTACCTAAGAGTCGCCACCTTCTTCCAGGTCATTGAACCTGATTCCAGTTTTCCAGGGCCTTTGTTTGCCGCGGGCATTTCCCCGTGCCAAGCGTTAGCTACTTACTTCAAAAACGTGGGTGTGGTGGGTGGTGTTGCTCAGGCTGCCCGCTGGCATCGAAGCAGAAAGGAAACAGCATTCGCAGGAGCTGCCATTGAGGGGAGAGAATCCTTGCTCCTGAGTTTACACTGTGGTGGCTGGTTCTGGAGACCCTGGTCCTGCCTTCCCTCCGCCCCCCTTC